TTTTTTTTTTTTTTTACTATCTGGTCTTTTCTACCTCTGGCGGAAGTTTGGGTTTAGGGTTACCCATTCCATAACCCCCTGCTCAGTCTCCCAACGCCAGCCAGCCTAGGTGCAGGGACTTCTTTCTCAGTATCCCCATCATGTTTCCTCGGGTCTCTAGGTCAGGGATCCTATACCGCATGGCCCCTAGCTCAAGGCTCCTGGGTTCCCATCCCAGCCCCACCTCCTAGCCAGCAACCCCCAGCCCCGCCCCCACTGGCTGCCACTGCAGGTAATCCCCTCCCCCTCCCTGCCCCCACAGCTCCAGCCCCTTCCAATTCGCCCAGACTAGGATCCCAGCGCTAGGGACCAGCTTCTCCCGCTCAGGCTCCTTCCCCAACTCCGCTCCCACGTGGGGAGCCCGACTCCCAGGCCAAGGCTTCTCCATTCACAGCGCCCTCCTCCATTGTCCTCGGCCTGTCACTCACGCATTGCATTAGCATTTCTAAAGCTCATTTCTCCTACTCACTGCTTTGGCCCAGGCTGGGCGGAGGAACTTAGCCCTATAGAACAACTAACAATTACAGCTAACCTTCAAGAGCACTTTCGAGTATATAATTCTCTTTTCTATATAGCCATTTCATTTACTTCTCGTCACAGCCCTTAGTAGTGGGACACTGACAGCCACAGAAGTTCGGTGAGTTGTCCAAGGTCACAAAGTAATTTCCAAAGCCCAGATTTCCACTCAGATTTGTCTGATGCCAGAGGCCACACATTCTTTCCACTACCCCACCTTACCTCTCCGTCAGGCTGTGCTTGCTTCTGCTTGGCCGGGCTTTCTTAAAAGGTAGACTCAGTGGCTTGATTCTCCCAGGGAAAATTGCTGAATGCAGCCTGCCAAGGAGTCCCTGGGTGCTTTCTCTGCTGCTGCTAACCAAGGAGCTCAGCAATGATACCTTCAGGCCACTGCCTGGACAACACAGGCTCATTTAAAAATGTAACTTGGGGAACTGGTTAAAGGCTTCCCAACCAGGTAGCCAAATTCATATCCCAGCCCTGCCACTTAATGGCTGGGTGGCTTGAAAAGTAACTTCATTTCTCTGTGCCTCAGTGTTTGCACTATAAAACAAGGAGGATAACAATGGTATATCATAGGTTGTAATGAGCATTATGTGAGTTAATATGCATAAAGGACATACAACAGCACCTGGACAGCACTATATGAGCCTGCTGGTATTGCCAATGCTCATTCGTGATTCTCCTGGGGTTAGCACAGAGTGGTGTGAGCACAGGGTAGCTTTGTTATCAGACAGCCTAGGATTCAAATCCTAGCTTTGTTCCTTGCTGTGTGCCTTTGGCTAAATGACTTACCTTCTCTGGGCCTAAACTTACTCAGAAGTAAAATGGAAAAAAATAATGGTTTTTATTTCTCAGAGTTATAAATATTACTATGTACACAAATGTTTACTCTAAAGGTAAAATGCCATTGAGACTATAAGCTTTTTAAATAATTCTTATTGAAGCCAGGCATGGTGGCGCACACCCGTGCTCTCAGTGGTTCAGGAGGCTGAGGCAGCAGGATCTTGATTTCAAGGCCACTCTCAGCAACTTAGCCAGGCCCTAAGCAACTTACTAAGACCTATTACAAAATAAAAAAGGCTGGGGATGTGGCTTAGTGATTAAGTGCCCCTGGGTTCAATCTCTAATGTTATAATAATAATAATAATAATAATAATTCTCACTAATTCTGTTCAATATCCTGTTTAAGAGCTCCACATCCTTTGCCTCTTGCTGCCTCACCTCTGACTCAGGGCCTTGCTTGCTTCCTGGAGCCCCAGTCTGCCCTGCAGAAAAATGACAAAAATATTCTGAGCCTCTTCCCTGATACTGATCATGCAATCTTCACATTCATAGCCTGCTTTGTTCTCCGGGTAGTGAGGTAACTCCTCCATGTGCTCAACACTTTGAAGTCTAACGAGTCTGTTTGCAGACTTCTTTATCTCCTGGGCCCTCCCAAGCACTCTGAGACTTGTAGGCAGGCTCCAGGAGTCCCACATTATAGATGGGGACATGAAGTTTCACAGAAGGGAAGAAACTTGTCCAGAGTCTTGAAGCCAGGAGCCGAGACCAACACCTGAAACCGTCCTCAGGTGCATTGTCCAAGCGAATTATCCATTGTTTCCTGTGTCCTGGTACACATTTGCAAGGTGTGCCTCTGCTATTGCACCAATGATCTGAGTATTTGCACAGATTCAGTATTTGCCTGTGACAGTCCAAGGCTGCGTAGCATTCATGGATCATGAGGAAAGAAAGGCTAGTTCCATGTGACCAGGGATATTTCCAGAAGAGGCAGTACAGGCTATAGTTTTTTTTGTTTGTTTGTTTGTTTTGTTTGTTTCTCCTAGAGAAACATATACTGTCTCATCCCACCTTCATAAACAAAGTCTGCAGTCACCAAAGAAAAATTATTTCTTTTCATGAACTAGAAGGAGAATGCTTATTTTAATTCTACAGCAACATTTGACTTTGTAGATAAGGTCCCTTTACTTCAGTGACCATCATCATCATTATTTTGCAGTACAAGGGATTTAATGCAGGGTTCAGACCTTTTAATTTTTTCAAAAATTTGAGACAGGTCTCACTAAATTGCCCAGGTTGACTTCAAACTTGTGATCTTCCTGCCTCGGCCTCCTGAGTGGCTGGGATTATGAGCATGCATGAGCCTGTTTTAGGCAATAGTTTCTTTAGGAGAATAATTCTAATAGATCTGTATTGCTCCAACTAAATTACAACTAACCTAAATCACCTGAAAATCCTTTGCTTCCTTAAATGTCCAGGTTAGAACCCTAGTAAAAACATGTTTACAGTCAGGCACAGTGGTGCACACCTGTAATCCCATTGGTTTGGGGGGCTGACACAGGAGGATTGTGAGTTCAAAGACAGCCTCAACAGTAGTGAGGTGCTAAACAACTCAGTGAGTTGTTTCACAAAGTAGGGCTGGGCATGTGGCTCAGTGGTTAAGTACACCTGAGTTCAATTCTCAGCACCAAAAACGAACAAACAAACAAACAAACAAAAAAACCAAAACAAACAAAAAAACATGTCTACAGTGGAAGAAGATTTTCAGCTTATGCCAGTGACTATAAATTAGGCTTGGAAGTAGGGATGTGCTGGTGGTAGGTTCTAGAATTCCCCAGGGCATATGTACTTTACCAAAGCAGATTCAAGATTTCTCAGTGTTCTAATTTCTAGAAAGTCAAGCTTATTTTCAAACCATTTTGATTGCTGTGGAATATATGGAAAATGGAGGTGCACATTCATGAATGAAGATCAAGAAATATGGAGTCAGTGTGGTTCTCTAAAACACGTGAGACCTGGCTGCCTGGAACACCTCTAGGCTCACTTCTGCTTAAACTGCTTCTGCTATTGCCCCAATGATCTGACTCTTTGCACAGATTCCAATGTCTATCTGTGACAGCCCAAGGCTGTCCCAGCATTCATTGGTCATGAGGAAGGACAGGCAAGTTCCATGTGACCAGGGATATTTTCAGAAGAGGCAGTAGAGGCTACAGTTTTTTGTTTGTGTGTTTCCTTTCTGGTACTTGGTATCGAACCCAGGGGTGCTTAACCACTGAGCCACATCCCCAGACCTTTTTATATTTTATTTAGAGACAGGGTATCGCTGAGTTGCTAGGGCCTCACTAAGTTTCTGAGGCTGGCTTTGAATTTGTGATCCTCCTGTCTCAGCCTCCCAAAGCACTGGGATTGCATCACGAGGCCATAGTTTATGGTCTGAAGAAATGGTTTTCAATACTCACCATGTTTTTGTTTTTGTTGTTGTTGTTGTTTTGTTTTTTCAGTACTGAGGATTGAACCTAGGAGTGCTCTACAACTGAGCTACATATACACAACCATCTTTCTTGAAATTTTTGAGACAGAGTCTCACTAAGTTGCCAAAACTGGTCCTCTGCCTCAGCCTCCAGAGTAGCTGGGATTACAGGCATGCACCACCACACCCAACTCTAATATTATTTTCCCCCCTTTTTTTTCTGTGTTGGGGATTAGACCCAGGGCCTCATGCAGAGAAGTTGAGGGATTAATAGAATTCCCCAATGACTTAGCATCAGCATCTAGAACCAGGCCTCTTTAAGCCCAAGTCAATGTTCTTTCTGCCTTCCTCCTTTCCCAGTGCAGTGACCTCGCTGCTGTGCTATTCAATTATTCTCTGTGCCCTGGATTCCTCCAGGTCCACATTCTGCCTCTGCCTCTCTACTATTCAATATGGTAGCCACTCACCAGCTGTAGTCATTGAGCACTTGAAATTGGAATCAAGGGTGCTGGGGGTATATCTTAGTGATAGAGTGCTTGCCTAGAATGTGTAATGCCCTGGGTTCCATCCCTGGCACTGCAAACAACAACAACAACAGCAAAGATATTGGGATTGAGATGTTCTGGAAGCAAACATAGATATGGAATCTTTAGTGTGGAAAAAAGAAAGCCAAATATCTAGTTAATAATTTTTGACATTTTTTTTTCTGAAAGATCTCTGCATTCTGGAGCTAGCCACTTTCTGTGGCTTGCATGGGCACCAAATAATTTATTTTAAAGAAAAATAAAATAATGCTGAGTGTG